ATGGCTGTTGAGAGCCTGAGAAGTGCTTGTCATTCCCGCATGGCTCCCCACTGCGGCAGAGCAGAAGGAAGGAGGCCAGCTTGGAATGCTAATTTGCCATGAACTCACCTACTTGCACAACCTACCCAGGTTCTGCTGAGGCCAGAAGCTGTGCCTGGGCCTGAGATGGGGACAGTGGAGTGGTGAGAGTCTCTTCTATACTCACTATCTCTTCTTGGCAAGAGGTTTCCGAGCAGGGAGCATGTTTAAGGGGTGAGTTTTATGCTGGGGTTCACAATTCCACTTCCCCAGCCTGTGGACTGCTGCAGGATAGGGGCAGGTAGATAAGGACAGGGGTCCACACTCCCCATCCCCACCCCAAAATCAACACTGACTCCTTCCTTTCCTGCATTCTCTGTTCCCAGCCTGTCATCAAATCTGTCACTGCTTCCTTTAAAATGTCTCTTCTCCAGTTTTCACTGCACCTTAGCTGGACCACAACTTCATCCCAGTCATGCCCTGACCTCAAGAAGTTTCCAGGGTGGTCCTGGAATCCACCCTGACCCACTTGTCCACAGATGCCCGAAGAGCCGTCCCAAAGCTCTTCTGTCCCATCGCTTCCCGCACAAGGACCTTGCAGGGCTCCCTGGGACTCCTGAATCACGCACAAAGTCTGTCCAGGCTGTGAGAACCCCCACAGACTGGCCCTACTTTCCTGATCCCAACTTTCCACTCATAGCCCTACTCACTCCCATTCCTGCCAGAAAGTGTTCCCGCAGCACACAGAGGACGTACAGAAACATGAGGCAAAGCTCCCAAAGATGCATGATCCAGAGGGAATGCAAGCCCTACAAACACACAAAAAAGAGAATTTTTACACCTTGTTCTGCACTGAAGGAGTTGAATGTGTGGGGCAGGCAGCAGTGTATGCTACTCCCAGCACAAAAGCTGAACTCCTCTAGAGCCCATGACACACTATGTTCCAGGCCACATTCAAGCTTCTAATAAGCCTGTGGTTCCCATTTCTAGACTCCACCAGATGACCTGCATACCCACCTTTCTAACCATAACCCTCCTTAAGACTCTTCCTGGCCATCTACTGGGGCTTCCCCTGGCCATGTGGAGTGGCCCTGTACTTTTCCTTTCTACATCTATTTCCTCCTTATGCAAGTAACAGCCCCATTTTCTTTAGGGAATCTCACTCCCAAAAGCTCAGTCCTTGTGCCTCACAGGCAATACATGTGACTTAGGTCTGAATCAATCAGTGTGTTATCACCCCAGCAATGATTCTGGGAAACTCTAAAGAGTCATGCCAGGCCACACAGGCAAGAGTGACATCTGGAGGAAGTGCTGGCACAGCGGGGAATATTCTTTTCTGAGTGTAGGAGCTCTGGCCCGACCAGTTATCCCCTTGCCACCACTGAAGAAAGACCTGTCTGGGAATGGAGCCAACCCAAAAGAAGCAAGCTGAAGAGGAATGAAAGCAAAGCCAGGTCCTGATGTCACCGTTTAAGCTCTTCAACTCTGAAGCCTGCTCTACCGATTTGTTACTCTTTGTTTAGGCAGGTTTGTGGAGTTCTAATTGATAGATGTGCCACTGATTTTCTGTTTCCCTTCTCTAGATCCCTGGAACCCCACAGTCCATGCCAGGCACTTAAGAAACAACCAACCCTTTGCTTTCCTATTCTAGACTCTAAGCTCCTTGAGGACACCATGGCCTGTACATTTTAGTATGTGATAGGGGTTGATGAGGTGACCTGGAATCTGGCTGAGAGGGAGCCTAGACGCAGGTCCAGGTCTCTGAGAAGCACCCTACCCTCCCACGTGGAGGGCCTGCACCTATGCTCAACCAACTCCACACTCCCCTGCCCAGCTGGCCGTGCACAAGGTGCCAAATATCAGGATACAGGAGGAAGATATGCCCAAAACCCAACACTCCTCTTCCAGAATGTAGAGCCTACAGTCACAGTCCTGGTGAGGAGATACAACGATATCTAGGAATTGGTTCTGGCATCCTTTCCAAGCACTGGGCATGGAAAGGCCATCATCTGGGGCTGATGGTTCTTAAAGGCCTATGTCCTGTTACTTATGTGTCCCTTGGGCACATTCAGCATAAAAATAAGCACAAAGAAGGCATCTAACATTTCCTATAACACTGTCAGCAGGTTGATGAAAGGCATCATAGAAATGATATTAACAGATAAGAACTAATATTCGCTGCTTCTCCCTTCATGTGCTTTAATTCATTTAATCTCAACAATAAGCCTACAAAGAAGATGCCATTATTAAAATAATAGACAAGAAAACTGAGGCTTGCAGGGGTTAAGTAACATGCTCAAGGTTACAGAGCAAGCAAATGAGGAAGTCCAATTTGAGCAGAGGCTTTCTGCTCCAGAGGTGATCCCCTTAACCATATCAATACCCTGCCCCTGTTACAGTCACATTCTGGACAGTCTTGGAGCAGGCAGATGAGTCAGTGGGCAGAAGAGCCAAGAGAATCTGGGATTTACACCAAGTCCAGCTGGAGACAATATTTCCTCCCCTACTGGGGAGGGCTTCCAGGAAGAGACTGACTTTGAATGGTTGCAGGCAGAGAATACTGCACAGGGAAGGAGCAGGGGTTCCAGGTCTGGCATACAACCAGGGATGGGGTACAGGATGATTTGGACCATGAAGGAACTTAAGTCAGACAGAGTGAGAGAAAAGATCCTCCCATGTGAAGCATAGTGTGGGCACCCAGGCAGAAGGCCTGCCTCATCTCACATGACTTAAACCAAAGTCCAGAGCTGTGTTCTGGATAAAACCTGGAGCCTCTGCAACGAGCAAACTCCATTGCTATAATCATTTATATTTTTTGATTCTGGGGATTGAACCCAGGGACTCACACATGCTACACAAGTTCTCTACAACTGAGCTACATCCAAGCCCACCATTCAATCATGTTAAATAAACAATGAATGAAAAATCAGTGTAGCCAGGGTCTGTACCGGATAAGCACTACAGATTCAGAAAGCTGCAGCTCTCTCAGCTCTGCTATGGTTTGAAAGTGCCCCCCAAAGGATATGTGTTGAAGGCTTGTTCCCCAGCCTGCAATGTTATTGGAAAGTAATGGAAACTTTAAAGGTAAGTCCTAGTGGAAGTTAGGGCCTAGGGCAAATTAGGGCCGTGTGTTGTGCCCTTAAGGAAATATTTGGTCCCAGACTCGTTCCTGTCTCTCTCACTCTCTTTGCCTTTTGGCACCATGAGGTTAACAACTTTCTTCTGTCACACCTTCTGCCATGATGTACCACCTCACCACAGGCCCAAAGCAATGTGGGCAAGTGACCATGGACTGAAAACTTTGAAGCCTTAAACTTTTCTTCCTTTAAGTTGATTATCTCAGGTATTTTGTCACAGTAATGGAAAGGTAACTAACACAAGTTCAAAACCATCAATGATCTCAAAAGCCCTGCCCATCTCACCAACCCCTCTTGCTCTAGGTATATCAGCCTCCTTTCAGGTCCTTCCCACCTCAGGACTTCCACTTATACCCTTCTCTCTTTCTGGAATATACTGCTTCCTGACCTAATCTCCCACCCCTAGATTTTACTATAAATGTTATTTCCTCACACCTATCCTGATCCCTGTAGATCAAGTCAGGCTACCCATTACAAGTTGCATAGCAACTCATTTCCCTTCACACAAATAATAATAATCTCACAGACTCTGGAGCCACCCAGCCCCTGAGTTTGAACTCTGGCTTTGTCACTTGGCCAAATCTCTTAGCCTTTCTGTGCCTCAGTTTCCTATAAAAGGAGATAACAGTACCTCAAGTATACCAAGGGCTAAATGAGTGCACTCAGTGCCTGACTAATGTAAACACTATAAAAAACATTACAACTGTAATTAACTGATTGTGCAATTGATTACAGTCATACAGTAGATAATGGTGTTTCAGACAACAAAGGACCACAGATATAATGGTGGTCCCATAATGGAGTTAAGAAATTCCTGTCACCTAGTAATGTCATAGCCATCATAACAGTGCCCATAGCACAACACACTATGCCCATGTTTGACTGAGGTGATGCTGGTGTAAAGAAACCTAGCATGCAGCAAGTCATGTCAAAGTACAGCATACACAAATGTGTATAATACATAATACTCAATAATGATGATCAACAACTGTTCCTAGATTACGTATGTACCATACAATCCTTTTCACTATTATTTCAGAGTGTACTTCTTCTACCTATAAAAATTTACCATAAGGGCTGGGGATATAGCTCAGTTGGTAGAATGCTTGCCTTGCATGTACAAGACTCTGGGTGCAATCCCCAGCACCACCAAAAAAAAAAAAAAAAACTTTCCTGTAAACAGTGTACCAATTACACCAGTGGCAGCCTCATCTATCTCATATTTACTGTGTGTCTTGATGATATGAACAGGCCACGTGGAGACTCTTGACCTACTCCATTTAGATTTATGTAGTGCACAACATTTGTGTTCACACGACCACGAGATCATTTAGCAACACATTCCTCAGAACACATCCAGCTGTCATTAAGGGAGGCATGACTGTATATAAGTGTCCCTCCCCCCATAGTACATACTCTAGTTGGACAGTGATACTAGTTTGCTCGTTGCTGACTCTACAGAGGAGCACAGTGCCTTGCATACTAGAATGCTGAGTATATATTTGCTAGCAGCAGGAATAAGTGAACAGGGCCCCCTGGGTGGGAGAATATACAGAGCTACCAGTGGGACCTGAGGGATCTATAGGAAACACAGGGGCCACAGGGGACAGTAGGTGCTGGGCTCTCAGGCACTTAGGAGAAAAGCTTTCAAGCTGGGCTCCTGATCTGAGCCCACTCCACACAAGGAAGCTAGCAGTGTCCCCCACCCAGGACCCAGAATCACTAAGAAGTCTGCTCCAAGAGTGTGTATCCTTGACATTGGAGAAAAGACTGCTCAAGACAGGGGGCAGCCCTGCATGGGGCAGCCCTGCATGGGGCAAGGTGGAGGAGAGTGGAAGTACCTACCTGCTAAAGATGTCTCCAGAGACTTTCTGTAGGTATTGCAGGGCATCTGCCACCTGTTGAATGGCTTCCTCTCGCCGCAGGTCAGGTTGGATGAGAGGCACTGAGTACGTCTGACCTGCCAAGGAATGCTGGGTCCTCAAAGGAGTCATAGTGCCTGTGGGTGGGAACAAGACCATCAGGACCAGAGCCCCATGCTCACCCATACCCACCACCACAGGGCAAGGTGATGTTGAGGTTCCACCTGTGTAAGAGCAGGGAGAGGGAGGAGTGAAGAACATCTGGTGAAAGGCTAAGGCTCCACAGAGATGAAATTCTGCTGATGCCTTTTGAGTGAATGAGGGAAGGAAAAGCCAGTACCACCGACTGGGTAACTGGTAGGGACAACAGTTCAGAAAAGGTGTGACATTTCATGACTTCCTAAAGCACCCTTTACATACATTATTCTCAGTTTGACCTCCCATTCTTGGATAAACACAAAGAAACCCTGGCTGCAGAGAAACAAAAAGCATGGAAGCAGATATGGAGGCGCAGGGGGTAGGGGGGGACAGGGATCATTGGAATAGACTGCCAAATGACACCCAACTTTGGGAAAGCAGGAAGAATGTGGACAATTGGGTTCTTCCCACTTTGGCCCCTGAGAAACTCTAGGGAGTAGCCAGTGACTCTAGGTATAAGAGTGCTTTACTCACCCAGGCCAGCGATAAGGGGACCAGAAGGAAGTTGGTGCATGTGGGGGTGGAGAACAGGAAGGAAAAACACGCCTTCGAATTGCAAGGCGAGGGCAGAGTCTATTTATATTGGGTTTAATTAACTCCGCTCCCTGGTGCCACTAAAGCAGCAATCACACTGCAGACGGCACTGATTTGATTGGCAAGAGACACGCCAGGCAGAATATTAAGGCACCAGGCCCCTATAAATAGGCTTAATCACAGCCCCACTCTGGAAGACGGTGAGGAAGACATTAATCAGGCCTGGCACGGCGCCCTAGACCTGCTCTCTTAGGCACCATACTGGGGCCCTTGGTTGCAACAGAGGTGTGAGTGGGGCGGGTAAGTATGGCAGGAAGGGCTAGAAGGCTTCATTTGAACTTAAAATGCTGTTTGACCATGACTAACCTCTCTGAATCTCTGATTCTTTCTGTCTCCATTCTATAGACTGAGAACTGGTACTGCTCTCTGAGAAGTCTTTGTCCCAATAGGACTCCTTGGCTCTGCCTGCTGGTTTCCAGAGCTCTTCCTTTTGCCTTACTGGCTCTCTCCTACCCTCTGTAGGCCAGTATTTTTCCTGATCTGAGATGATGATCATTTTGCTCTTCAACTTTTCTCCAGCAATGAGCTCCTCCTTGGCACTCACACTTCCAGAAAAGAAATTCTCAGCTTCCTAGACCTGAACCTGTCTTGAATACTCATCAGGACCCAAGAGTTACTCCTCACTCCCCACTTCCCTTCCCTTTTATCAAGCAACCAAGTGGAGCCAGCTGATCCCCAACCACCTAAGGGACTCAATCCTCTGAAACCACCATACCTCTTTCAAGAACTCTCCTCCCCTCCCCTTCTTTATATTGATACTGATGCAAATCAGCTGGCCTTCCTAACTTACTTTCTATTCCTCAGTTCTCCCATCCATAAAATCAAGAGGGGGAAAGAAGATCCTTTTTGCGCACGTCTTGAGATGAATTCCTCGTTAGTTACCACATCTGGATGTGTGTGTGATTGCCCACGCACATGTGCGAGAGGGTAATACAGGCACAAATCTCCTAAGGAAGTATCACATCCGTTGGAGAATTAAGAGAGTGAATACAGCTGGTTAGCGGTTTACTCATTCTGTCTGCAAACATCTACTGATCAGCTATTAAGTGCAGGCCATGATCACAACAAAGATGAAAAAGGCACTAGACAGAGAGATAGCCTCAAAAACAACTAAACCCCCTACAATAAGCACTCTAATTCACCTATAAATACAGAGCTAAGAGTTAGAGGAGTCCAGAAAAGCCTGTTGACAAAATCTGTACCTCTCTACCAAGGCCCAGAGAAAGGGTTCAAAAACATTCTAGGTAAAAGAAACAGCTTAACCAATGGCATCTAGAGGAATATAAGTGGTTTTGCATGGTGAGAATATAACATTTTGGGGGAAGTTACAGGGAAGAAATGATAAAAAGAGGCCAGTTTGTGAATAACAGTGAATACCATAGCTAGAAGTTAAATGGGTGCTGTTCAATATGGTGGGCACCAGCCATTGAACACATGAAATGCAGATAGTTCAAATTGAGATGTATTGTAAGTATAAAATGCACACTGAAATTAAAAGACTTAGTAGGAAAAAGAATGTAAAATCTCTCATTAATTTTTATATTGATTATATGCTGAAATGACCATGTTAGACAAACTGGGTTAAATAAAATATATTACTAATATCACCCATTTCTTTTTACTTTAAAAAAATGAATATCCATATGTACAACAATGAAAGAAACTTGATCCCTAATTCTCACCTATACAAAAGTCAAACACAAGTGGATCAAAGACTTAGAAATTAGACCTAAGGTTTCTACTTTGCAACTGTTGAAAGAAAATTGTGGGGAGGTGGTGTTGGAGTTGTGGCTCAGCAGTAGAGAGCTCGCCTAATATGTGCAGGGCCCTGGGTTTGATCCTCAGCACCACATAAAAATAAATAAACAAAATAAAGGTGTTGTGTCCAATTACAACTTAAAAATAGATATTTTTTTAAAAAAAAGAAAGAAAAAAGGTCAACACTTCAACATACAGGCATAGGCAATGACTTCCTCAATAGGGCTCAGGAAATAAAATCAGGAGTTCATAAATGGGATAGCATTAATTTAAAAAGCTTCTGCACGGCAAAGGAAAAGAAAAGCATGAAGAAAGAGCCTACAGCATGGGGGAAAATCTTTGCTGCTATTCTTCAGACAGAGAATTAGCAACCAGACTATATAAAGAACTGAAAAAAAAAACTTAACTCCAGAAAAACAAAATAAAACCCCCAAATCCAATAAATGGACAAATGAACTGAACTGATACTGCTCAAAAAAAAGAAATACAAATGGCCAACAAATATATGAAAAAATGTTCAACATCTTTAGCAATCAAGAAAATGCAAATCAAAACTACACTGAGATTTCATCTCACTGCAGTGAGAATGACACTCATTAAGAATACAAAAAATAAATGCTGACAAGGATACAGGAGAAAAGGAACATTTTATACACTATCAGTAGGACTGTAAATTACCACAGCCCACTATGGTAATCAGTATGGAGGTTCCTCAAAAGGCTGGGAATGGAACCACCATAAGTCCCAACTTTACCATTCCTTGGTCAGCATACTACAGCAAAAATACATGCATACACATGTTTACAGCAGCACAACTCACAACAGTCAAGTTATGGATCCAACTTAGGTATCCATCAACAGATGAACTGATAAAGAAAATGTGGTACACAGAAACAATGGAGTATGACTCAGCCAATAAAGAAGAGCAAAATTATGGCATTCATAGGAAAATGGATGGAACTGGGGAACATAATGCTAAGTGAGATAAGCCAGACTCAGGGTTATGTTTTCTCTCATATGTGGAACTAGAGAGGAATAAGGAAAGAGAAGGGACTTCATGAAAATACAAGTGAGACTACTAGAGAAATAGGATTGGGGATAGGAGAAGGGAAGGGGAGGCAGGTAAGGGGGAATGAAACAGACTAATTTATGCATAAATGGATAATTGTTATGTATAATTAGAATGCACCAATAACATTTTTTTTGAAAATTAAAAAAAAATATATCACATGTGGCTAGCATCTTCCTTCCTTCCTCTGTGTCCTGTATAACTAAAGAAATGAGTCTCTGTTCCTCTTTTCAAGAAAGAGACACCCTTGGATGAATTCTGGCCTAAGCACTAAAATTAATCATAATATTTCATTTTATTGTCTCTTCCTCCTATATCCTGTAGCTATTAAATGATTATCATGAAGATAATCTTTATTGACTCTTTCAGTAGACAGAATTTTCATATGCAATATTTTTATTATTAACTAATAACACTATGAATAATTATTACTTTTAACTAATAATACCTATATACTTGAGAACATCCTATCAAAGAATTATTTAATTATTAGTATTGGTGAATATATCATTATCACCAATTTTAGATAAGGAAATGGGGTTGGACAAACCAAATAACATTTTTTCCAGCATCAAAATGCTAGCATATGATGAAGCCCAGACCTGAACCTATGTTGTGAGAATGCAGAACTTTTGGTACTTATCAGTACATTTTATTGTTTTATATAAAAACACAAATTTTAGAGTTCCAAGACTGTGTTGGTGCTAATTAAAACACCTTATCTTGCCCAGCATAATGGCACACACCTGTAATCCCAGCAACTAGAGAGGCTGAGGCAGGAGGATCCCCAATTCAAGGTCAGCCTCAGCAAAGTAAGCAAGACCCCTGAGCAACTTGGCAAGACCCTGTCTCAAAATAAAAAATAAAAAGGACAGGATGGGGGGAAAAAAAGGACAGGATGTAGCTCAGTGGTAAAGGGCCCCTGGGTTCAATTCCCAGTACCAAAACACATAAAAAAATTAAGACACCTTATTTTGATAGTTTGTCCTATGTAAACCTAAACTAGTTATGTTTTTGACATTAGGGAGGCTGAGCCACACTGTGACAAACACTTCCTAGTCACTTTGAATCATTTCAACCGTATAACTTCACAACACACTTTGGAGTTATGTGTTACTGTGGACTTACACATATGAGAAAACTCAGGCACAAAGAGGTTCGTTGGCAATTATGTTTTGAAAAGTCTGTGGTGATCATTTTAAAAAGATGATGGAAAACATGGGAAAATACAATAAATAGCTAAGAAGTCATGGGGGACTTAATTGAAAAATAAAAGGTGAAAAATTCACCACAAGTATTTTCTTGTATTGGGGAGTTTTATTGTTAGAAATCCTAACTCCTCCTCGGTTCCTTAATGGATGAGTGCAATTCATGCTAGGCCTTTGATATTTCCTACTTATTTTTTATTGTTTAATACATTCCACACCCATAAACATTCTTTTAAAATGGTGTTTTTCTTGCATCTATTTGCCATGTTCACCAAGATATTCTCCAGATGTTTTAAGTTGACAAATCAGAAATGTATACATTTGTCGCGTATCGCCTAATATTTCCATTGGACCGCACTACCTTAGTCTGGGAAAGACCGAGATCTCTCCCCAAAACATGAACCCACACTCGACGCCTCTTTCATACTGCGGTTTATAATTTCGGAAATGCACGGAACCCCTCCTGCAAACCATCCTCTCCCAGGATCTATCCCGCAGTTAAACAGCTCTGCACAAGGCGATCAGGAAACAGGCGCGGTCCGAGTAGGACCGGGGCCAACTAAAGGGCCGGCCCAGCGCCAGGAACTGTGTCACGGTTCCGAGCGGGTCGTCCCCATCACCCCGGGGCCGGGCGGCCGGGAGGCAGCGGAGCCTGGGACCCACGGAGCCCCACCCGGCCCGGTCCCGGTCCACTGCGGGCCTCGGCCTCCGGCGAGGGCAGGAAGCGACCGGGCTGGGCCAGGGGGCGCGGCGCGCGTCCCGGGGGTCCCGAAGCGCCCCGAGGGCGGCAGGAGCCCAGCACGGGGCCTGCGGTCCCGCCGCCGCTGGCTCTCCCTCGCCCCACGCAGGGCCACGAGCTCCTCCGGTGCCGGTGGCCCGGCCCTCCCGCAGCCCTCCTCCAAGCCTTCACGTCCCCTCCTCCGCCCCGCCGCCGGCGCCAGCCCGCGAGCCCACAGCCCGCGCCCCTCACCTGCGCGCCGCCGCCGCCACCGCCCGCCGCGCTCCTCTTCCGCTCGGCGCGCGCCGCGGGGTCCTAGCGCCGTCGCTCGCACGCACCAGCTCCGCCTTCCCGCCGCACTCCCGGGCTGGAGGTGGCGCGGCCCCTGCACGGAATCCACCGCCTGGGCTTGGAGCTTCCCAACGTCCGCGCGGCAGACGTCCGCGCGGCAGAGTTCAGAGCGCCGGGCCCAACCAACATGCCTGCTTTAATCAGTCTTGTAGCACACCCTGATTTTCCTTAGTGCCCAAACCCGTTTTAAAATTAAATATAGAAGCCAGACACAAAAGGACAGATATTATCTGATTTGACTTATATGAGGTACCTGCACCAGTCAAATTCATAGAGACAGAGAATAGTGATTACTAGGGATGAGGAAGACGGGATAGGCAGTTAGTGATTAAAGGCTGCAGTTTCAGTTTGGGATGATGAAAAAGTTTCGGAGATGGATGTTGATGATGATTGCACAACAGTGCGAATGTGCTCAGTGCCACTAAACTGTACACTTAAAAATGATAAGGGACTGAGAATATAACTCAATGATAAAGCGCTTATTTAGCTTGCCTGAGGCCCTGCGTGCCATCTACAGCTCTGAAAAACAAAAAAGAAGAAGAAAAGGAAAATAAAATAGTTTAGAGCGTTAAGTTTTATGGTACATATATTTTAAAGCTGGATAAAAGAAGAAAGGAGGGAGGAAGGGATGAAATGGAAGGAAGGAAGAAAGTTTTGTTTTGTTTTTTAAATTAAACATATAAAGAGAACTTCAGTTCAGGGCCTGTAATAGTCTCCCCTAGAATCCACGGACTTATCTGGGGAGTTTTTGTTCCTTCCTTTTTAGGGTAATCAGATAGAAATACAGGATGCCCAGTTAATTTGAATTTCAGAAAAATAATTTTTAGTATAAGTATGTCCCATGATTAGTTTCGAATATACTTATGCTAACATTTGTTCATTGTTTATATACTTATTTGAAAAATTATTTATTGTTTATCTGAAGTTCAAAATTAACTTGGCATTTTATATTTCTGTTTACTAAATCCAGCAATTCTACTTTTTCCCCCCTATACCGAGGATTGAACCCAGGGATGCTCTACCACTGAGCTATATCCCCAGCTCTTTATTTTATTTTATTTTAAATATTTTTTTAGTTGTCAGTGGATCTTTATCTTTATATTTATTTTTATGTGGTGCTGAGAATTGAACCCAGTGCCTCACATATGCTAGGCAAATGCTGTATTGCTGAGCTACAACCCCAACCTCTTTTTTTAATTTCTTAAGACAGGGTCTTACTAAGTTTCTGAGGCTATCCTCCTGCTTCAGCCTCCCTAATAACTGGGATTACATGCATGCACCACCTCACCGACAACACTACTTAATACTCTTCTACTCTCCCAGTTTTGTCCTCCTTCCAAAAGGACAATGAAGGGTGCAGGCATTGAGTGACAACAAGATCATTCTGCTGTCTCAATAGCTGCTATCAGAAGTGAGAAAGACTGGTCTCCACTTATACTGTAGACTGAATGGTTGTGTCCCCATATGTTGAAGCCCTAAACCCCAGTGTCATGGATTTGGAGATGGGTCTTGGGTAGATAACTAGGGCTAGATGAGGTCATAAAGGTAGGGCTTTCATGATGGATTTAGTAAGAACAGCAAACTCCCTTTGTCCTCTTCCCACCATGGGAGGACAATGAAGGCAGCTGTCTGCAAACTAGGAAAGGAGCTGAGGGAACCTAATCATTTACCACCTTGACTAATACAAACATATTTCCCCCTCACCCACCTGAGTGATAGCTGAGTGGCTTAAATTTTCAAGATACATCAATGAAGGGGAAATGTGCTGTGCACAGGGCCCACCCATGCCAAAGAGAAGCCATGCCTGTCATGAAGGAGAGCACACAGGCTTGGAAGCTCTGCCACTCATTCTTTGTGTGGCCTCGGGAAGGTCACTTAATAGGGCCTCAGTTGCCCCATTTGTAAATTGGGTTTAAGAGTGTTTGCCCTGCCTCCTTTCAATTACTGCGAAGAAAGTATGTCAATATGCTTGTAATCTATAAAGTTTATTTGAACATGAAAGGAAATGTGTATGTGCTCCAGGATGTCTGTCTAAACATAGACATACACACACACACACACACACACACTCCACATCATATGTCAAGCTTGGCCGTGTCTGCTAACAAAAGTGCTCTAGACAGCACTCCTGTGCTGGAACTAGACTATCCATGCCTGTTCATCCTCCAGACCATCTACCCTCAACTTCACAAAAATTGACTACTGACAGACTCAGCCCAGACCTAACCATAAAGATTTCCCAGGAGCTCAATTGCAAAGGTATCCAAACCCTCAAACTGCAATGAGAATCTTTGAATTTAATCAAGACAAAGAAAAGCTGGATGTAATGTGTGGCTACTGAGGCTCCACATACCCTTGGGCCTGAGATAACAGGGATGGTCCTCAGCAGCCTTGCCAAGGCTTGCTACTATTTTCCAGCCTCTTGGATTCCTTAGAATCCATGTGTGTTGATTTCAGAAATTCCTCGTGGACGTACAAATAGAGCAAAGTGTCCTGAGCCTCTAATCTATAGAAAGAAAACTGGAAAGAAGAAGAAAAACTCAATATTTAAGTTCCATCCTCTAGCATGTTTCATTGTTCTTGGAACAGGCTCCCCTTTCCTGGAGACCATTTTCCTCTCCAATGGTAAATTTTACTGAGATTCTTTACTTCTTGGGAAGTTTTCCAAAGATGCCTGGAGAAAGGATGGAAATGTCTCACCCTCTAACCAGACAAAAGGATGCAGCCAGATGATACAGCCAACTTCTCTTGCTCAGGTTTCTAATGCATTTGAAAGAAAAACAAAAAACCTCAGTCCAGAACTCTGCCCAGAGAGCATTGTAATGTGCAAGCAAGGGCAAGAAATTTCTCCTCTAGGAGCCTTGGACTGACCTCATCACTAGCACCAGAGCCAGTTTTATTAAACACCCTGTGTCCAGAGGGAGTTAGTTACATCATCCTCACCTACTGGGAGTTAAACCTTACACAGTCCTACTCCTCCAGGAAAACTCCTTGGGGACTACAGCCCAAGGGATCTCCCCTTCTAGGAAATTCACAACACTGACATCTTGACTGGACAGCTTAGCTCCCATAATATGCTGGGGGGCGGGGTGGGGTTGTGTCTCTGAGAGGCAGCAGGGTGTCGAGATTATGAGCAAGGCCTCTGGAACTAGATTGCCTGGGTTGCAACTATTCTGCTTTAAAACAGAATGTTAGTTGTGCATGTTACTTGTGTCTCTGTTTCCTCTTCTATAAGTGTGGGATCAATAAAAATCTGGCATCTATCTTTGTAGTGAGAATTAAATTAGTTAATATATCTCAAGTGTTTAAAATGATAGTCGAGGGTATAGCTCAGTGGTGGAGCACTTGTCTGGCATGTGTGAGAGGCCCTGGATCTGATTCTGCAAAAAAAGGAAAAAAAAAAAAAAAGATGCCTGAGTCCATCAATGAATGAATGGATAAACAAATTGTGGTAAAAATATTTAATGAAATATCACTCAGTTATAAGAAGGAAGGAAATAATGATATTATGTTACCAACATGGTTGAACCTCAAAACCACTATGCTAAGTGAAAGAAGCCAGATACAACGGGCTATGTATTGTACAATTCCACTTACACTAAATACTCAAAATAAGTAAATCTATAAACAGAAAACAGATTGGTGGTCTCCAGGGGCTAAGAGAATTGGAAATGGCTATTTAATAGGTATAAAGTTTTATTTGGGGATGATGAAAATGGCTTGGAAGTACATAGTACTATTGGTTGCACAACATTGTGAATGCACTAAATGCTATTGATTATTTCACTTTAAAATGTAAATTTTATGAGATTTCACCTCCATCTGAAAACCAAACAAAAATAAACAAAGAGATGCCAGAACATAAGAGCAGTAGCATTAGTCAGTGTTAGCCTTCGTGTATTCCTTGTTTCACCAATGCTGACTGTGTGTTACACCTTCATATCCTCCTGTGTATGGAGATTAACAAATGTGAGATGGGATAAGAGAATGTGGGAACTTGGAAAAAGCCTCAGAGACTACAGAACCGCTGCTGGATGGATGGCAGAGATGGGAACAGAAGGTCACAGTCTTTGCTGTGTGCTTTTCTGAGATACCTTTTCCTTTCTTCAGCTGCAGAATAAAGAAAACAAAATAATTTCCCTCATCACCATTCCCTCAGCACACGTTTATTGAGTGCTTTCCCTGTGCCTTCAAACAAGTTGGGGAAACAGATACTTAATTGGAACGTGATGCATGTTTTGATGGAGGCAGAGGAAGGGAGCCTAAGGCTCTTGGGAGCATGTTGTTATTATAAATAAACTGAGTGATAAATAAAGGTCTAAGTACAACACAAGTTTATTTCTCACTAATAGAACACCAGATCAAGGTAGTATGCTCTGTGTTGCTTTAAGTCAGGGACCCAGGTTTTTTCCATCTATGATGGCTCTGTCCTCTTAACATGGGGCCCTAACATTGCTGTGTTCCATGGGAGCAGAAAAAGCAAGAAGTAGAGCAGGTGGGAGGTTTGCTGGAGCAGGCTGGGAAGCAGCATCTATCACTCTTGTTCCTTTTCCATTGGTTACAGCTTGTTCAGATGGCCACCTCCAACTGCAAGGGAAGCTGGGAAATGTAGTCTTGGGTACTACTAGCAGTAGCCAGTTTGTGCTACAGCCATCAGGAGGTGAGAAGATGTACAGGTGGGTATGAAGTGAAAAGGAGATAAGACTGTAAGCAGTTTGGTGAAACTGAAAGGTAGAGACGGGTGGGGAGAGGATAGAGAGGTAGACCAGAACCAGACTACAGTACTAGATTTAATTTTTGGAGTTCCTACTCTATGCCAGGCTACACGCTTGGTAGGATTGCAATGATATTAGGTTATCTGCCCTGTAGGAGAAGAAGTGAGAGTTCCTTTACCATTACTGGTTTTGCATAAAAAAACCCGATTTCCTAACAGTCT